GGGGTATTAGATGGCGGTGGTGGAACACATGCTATATCGCGGTTTTGATGATCGACACCAGTTTTAACTAAATTGGAGGGGGGCGTTGATATGGACGGTAGCGAATGATGGTCTGTAGATTCGGCAATGGCCTCAATACCATAACTTGTGCTGGACCCATCCGATCCAAGAATTTTCTGGGCGTTACGAACTGTTGCATCGGCAAGGTGTCGGAAAAACTTAAATAACGCCATTTACGGCAGAATTATCTTCTCATCCTCTCTCTCGACAAGATGAAGTCGACTCAAGACAAAGAGAGAAGCATATGTATGATTGCGGCGTTAACACAAACAGAATGCAGACACTTGTCATGCACGACGTAGAATCCAAAACTTCAGCTTTGAAGAAACAATTAAATGCCCTCGTTAAGGTGGAGGAGAGTGTACGTAAGTTTATTGGACTACACGAAAAGATAAAAAGGACAGAGATGGAAAAATGATGACGATGATCTGCACTGTTAAAGGGCCGTGTCACGCGTTCCACGGCGTCTTCGCAAAATAATAAGGCAAAGGAGGGAATGCAATACTCAAAGTGACTACAGGACGGCAACCAGTGGGCGGTGAGATTGCGAAAGCCGGATGAAGAATGGCAAATCAGAGGATGCTTATAGAAAAAGTCAGAGGTTCCAGTGGACCGACTCGACATTGACTACTATAGAGAACTCAACTTCACTAGGTGGCACTTATACACGCAATAACAGGTCATAGTCGTAACTTGCTATTCGTCTTTTCAGACAGTTATGATTAGTAAGCTTTAACGCATCTTCCTGGGCAAGTTAGTCTTCCTTTTTCATCTTAACGACATCCAATTAACAATCGAACACTTTCAAACATTTTTATGCTGATGGGCATAGGCGCACTTACTTACTCTAAAATCAACGCAGGTGGCTGCGCTGAAAAAATTAAACCAGACAAGTCTTGTCTGCAAAAATTGAAATTTGCTTAAAAGAAGTCTTCATTGCCCATGTGCACCTTCACGCAGTTTGGCCACATAACCTATCAAAAAATTTGCATTTTTGGAATACTGTGCCAGCAATGACCTAAGCATAGATAAGAAAAAAGTTCTCGGTTTTCCAACTTATGCACATCGAATTTCCGAAACAGTCAGATATCTTAAAGCTCCAGAATAAATCCAGCTCTTCAATCGCAACTTCGAAAACTTTACATCCAGCAGAATCTAAAATGCCTGCACCCACCTGTACAAACACATATTCTTATCAAGACCCTCTCGAAATTATCAAATCGTAAAAAAGATTGGATGTAACAAACACATATCATATTTGATCGTTCGTAAGTATGGAATACAATCTCAATCAGCATTATAAATAAACCAATAGGCATTAGGCGTGCCGAGAGTTTGCGCTGGCAGAGCGGACGCGCGGTTTTGAGTGGGTGGCCCATGTTGCGGCCGTACCCTTAGTTTGTATTGGTTGCTCCGAGGTCCTCTTACTTTAAAAGGCCTCTCTCATGGCGCCAAATATTACTGTTACTGCGGCTTCACTCTATAAATCTCGACATGAATGTCCTTAGGTCTGATGTTCCACGTGCTTATATCTCCCTGTCAAGGAGTCTTCGAGCCAGCGCTTGCAGATATGCCGCTGCCCCATTGCATACCGTTGGTACGCGTTCGTAATTATGACTACTCCGTTAGTTTGTACTTCCGGAACAACTTATCCTCTGACTCCTTATGAGGTGCCTTCCGAGGCTCCTCTCCAGTCCTCTGCTTCTGGAGTTATCCGCCCGAAGATCATGAATTCGGGAGTGCAACAGAAGGAGGTCCAGCCCTCGTCAGCCGCCGATGTTCCTCTTAATCAGGACATTGCCATGGTAGGTCACAAAGCGTTCCGTTGCCCCTTTTTCCTTTCTCCACCAAGCCCCTCTTATCATAAACAGTGTTTGTCTGACCGTGGCCCCATGGGTTGTGGATCATTCTACTACCCAAGTGAAGAATCGTCTTGTCCTGAGTTAAACGCTTCCCACTTCTCAGTGATTTCTTTAGTCTGACTTGCTACAGCTTCCGTCCCATTCTTTGGTGTGCGGATGACATTTCCCTAACTTTCAATCACACACGCGGCTAAGACAACACAGGCTCGAAAACTAACACTACGCTTGTGAGCAGTCACCCTTGCAATCCGTGCCAATACAGTCAGTTTCCCGTTATCTGACTGGCACGGCAAGCTTCTCCTGAACATCTATTTGGCAAATAAATGCCGCGCCTGAGTTAGTGTCGTGCTTAGGAAAATGTGCTTGACCGATGAATGCTCGCCTCAGAGATCTACTCAGGTACGCTCTGAAACCTAAACCGACCATTTCACACCGATGAGCAGAGCGAAGAGGCAAGCGCATTTCGGCCTCCTCTGCATACTCGACTTGGATCGCATACCAAGTAATTAAGCAGGTAGGCGAAGGAATATCATAATTTCTCCTATGTATGAGTCGCCAGGACCTGACTTATACACCAGAATATTTTATACATCGGCCAGTAAGTAGAAAGTGTTAAATGCGCTCGGAAGCTGACGTCAGAACGCGCTTTTTATTGGCAGAAGAAAGTCCTTAAAACGGGTCAGGGCGTTCCCCGAAAGAGTAATTTATAGGCGCGGTGTGTGAACATTAATAGCCTAAAATGTTATACCACCTCTGTTTTCGCACACAAGATGTCTTTTGTGGCTCACATGGGACAAGGTGCTATGTGCAGCACCGTTAAGAGACTTCCAGAAAGTATCTTACAGTTGCAATTACAGATGCCTTTGTTCACAACTTTTTCTACTTCAATTTGGGTACCAATGCATCGCATTTTTTCCACATATTTGTTTAGGAAGTACTTCCCGGCGTCACTCCTCTTATTCCGGCTGTTGATTCCGACAACTTGGACTGCCAAGTTATTGCCTGCTCCCCGGAACTAATGTCGGAGTTCGCCCCACTCTTTCCTGGCAAGAAGCTCAGTAACCTTACTGCTGTTACATTTGCCCACCGAACTAATTGCAACATCTTCGACTGGAATGAAGAAATGGCTGCAGAACGGGAACAGTTGGCTGAACACGTACTCTCGAATTTTTATTCTTAATGCTCTTTAGTTCTCCGAGGCTGCCAGTGAGATGTGCACCTACCTGAACAACCAAGGGTACTGGGCTGATTATATCGACCCATACACTGGCCAACCGGTAAGGCGTGCTATTTATATACTGTCGACAAGCATATTACATATCTAACTGTCATTTTTATTTTTACTGGGTTCACTGGATTCGAATCATGCGCCTAAGAGCAGGGATACACGATGAGCCCAGTATACTAAAAGCGAGCTTAAAGTGATCATCTTGTAAAAAATATGCTCAATAGCCAACCTGCCAAAAACTGGAAGATTGCAGAGGCAAACTGAGTCTCCCAAAAGTATTCTCCGAAAACCCTGATATGAAGACAGAAATGAAGCAAATACGTGGACGCAATTCTTAAAGCTTGCTTCTTGGTGGAGGCATCTTAGGGAGTGTTTTACGATTCCCAGAGGTAGCCATAGAAGGAGGGGTGTTGAGTTTGTTGTTTAATAAGCCTGTTTACTGGGCTAGGCCACGCTTTAGATTTACCAAGTAAGTGGGTGGAACAAATGTTTAGGATTACCTTTTTTTCCAAAGAAATGCGGTAAGCCCGTCACCATATCGTCCAACTAGATCAATCTTCGTGTGCCATGTTTACACGGCCACTCTTCTTTCCTCATTTTCCCAATTTTGAATTCTCTGAACATGAGGGAAGTACACGGTGACCCGTGTTCTGGATATGATGCATTCAATGGGACGCAAATATCCCTCGTTACCGCGGTCGATTGAGGATGGACGACCTACCTCCATCCGTTTACGTTAATTTTGTTCGCTCTAGTGAACACCAACTGCTGGGTAGGCGTCAGCTAAACATTCAAAGCAGTCACTGTCATATAGATTTGCGTTCATGCTTCGCCTCTAGTTTATATTTATAGTAAATAGGCTATCCGAGAGTGCAGTCCAAGGCGACTTGAGTACTCCAGATAGAAAAGTCTACCGATCTTGATAATGTACCACGGCAGCCGACTGTATTTGGACCCACAAACTGATTCTCGCGGAACCTGCCGTAATGTACTTCTTTATCTAGTAGAGGTTATTTTTGCCGCCTAATAAAGAATGCCTTTCTATTTCTGACATTTTTGGATTTTATCTACAGGCTCTGAGTGGAACGACTTCCGATGCGCTTATGGAGACGGACGCTCGTTTCAAACGTCTCGGCTTCCTGATTGATGATGTCGCCTGCTGTAAGATTCTTCGTCATCAGCGTTGGGGCCACCAAGTCTCTGTTGGTGTTGTCTTCACAAACGCACCGCCGAGCCTTCCCATGTTGGCTAATCTTCAGACCTCGTCCCTATTAACCCACTAAAGTGGCTGTGCTATCTCCCATGAGGATATTTTATGCTAATTTTGACTCTTATTAAGGTGGAGACCAATGCATATCTCAAAATACACTATTTTGTCCTGATAAGCCTTTCTTCACCTTGTTACACAGTGTCTACGCTTTGTACAGCCCTCTTCGATGTTTCAGCGTTTGAGGGCACTGCGTGGTGACCGTCCAACAAGTCCGTTTTATTCCCTCAGTACATGTCGACAAAAGGTAGCTGCATATTGTTCACTCACTAAGTTTGATTAGGGGCACGCACGCAAGTGCCGTCCGACAGCCCCAAAGTCAAGAACAGTAGGCCTTCACAGGGAAAGCAGGCCGATGATGGGGGTGAATCCTCCTATATCGATAGCCTCTTCTTTGGTAAGCTGTTGCCATTTTCCCGTCTCATAAGATGCCTTAATATCGGTAGCTGCTCGGTTCACTGACGGCTTTCTTTGCTAGAGTTGGGGTGCCGATTCGGACATATCTTTACCCGTCTACCTTCAGCACTGTACTTTGTTATCGTTTGCCAGCTTTACGCTGACGTTACCACGAAAATCCCAAAATCGCGACGTTACTTGATACTAGCTTCTGTGAAAAGTTTTCAGGATAAGGTCTCACGCACTACTGAAGTGCATGTAGGTTGTCTTGATCTCTGCTCAGGCAGCGTCATCAAGCGCACAACTTCATTTTGCAAAGCCCCAGAGGTGGTATTTGTTTATTCTGACCGGGTAAGGGTACTCTCTAAGGAAGGCACAACTGCGGGCCTTTCTCGAAAGCCAGTGTTGGTAAAGAAGGCCGAAGTTAGCACCATTTTTAACGCCCGTCCCTATGTGATACTGAGCGCGCACACACACATGGTAGGTTACTATCCAAGTCATTTGTCGGTCAACTTCAGCAATATGATGGGGCCGTTTGCCATATAAACCTCACTTGATGACTTGCTCTCGTAGGGCCGTGTTGCGCCCTCTAAACTCCCTCCGTCGATCCTTCCCTGACGAAATTCCGTGCATACTAAGTCATCCAGCGTGGACCTTCTCCGTCTGTACATCTGCATGCACTCGTCTTTTCATCGTTTTTGATCTTTAATTACCTGCTATTCGTCCGCATTTTAAGCCCCACTCAGGATACCTGTGCGGTTTGCTTTGACTCACTACCTTTGTAGACGCCCGCCCAGTGCCAACAACTCAACTAGTCTTAATACTATCGCGCTGAAGTTCTGCATGCGACGCAAATGTTGCAACCGTAAATAATTTGGTATTAGAATAGACGTAGTCCGGCCGTTCGCGATGTTCGCTCAACGCAGAAAACCTAGCACAGGCTGGTCTTCTGAGTAGTCTTCGACCTTGAATGCTGTTCGCAAGGGAAGCAGGCGAAGCTATACAGACAAGCGTCACTTTACCCCTAAGTTCAAATTCACAACCACGTAGGTGTCAAGTAGAGCTGTGGTAATAATGCTGACAACTTTCATCAACATTTGTCTGGTTCGCTAAAGAGGGTTTCTTAATTCACGGCGGCGATTATGATCCATCATCTGCCAGCGGGTGTCCAGATTAACACGGATCTTCGGGATCCACTTTATGCAGGTCAGTAAGCACAGTAGACCGGTTGCTCTCTACAGATGGCATCTAATCACGTCTTTGGGCCTTCAAACCCCGGAGCACTCTACGGCGTCTCTTGAAGTAGCTCTCCTGCGGTATTTTGGAGAAGCCTGCTTATTCCCAGGGAGGTTGTTAATGATGGATAGTAGTTTAAATCAACCCACCATCTGAAGATCCTTCCCTTCCAGCGCAGACCCTCTCTGTCGCTACTATCTTCAATCCGCGTACGCTTGTCTTTTTAGTGTTTGTGATCTTGCATTACCTGCTATTCGCCCGCATTTTAGGCCACACCCAGGATACCTGTGCAGTTTGGTTTGACTCACTACCTTCGTAGACGTCCGTCCGGCGCTGACAACTAGTCTGACCACATTGTCTTAATACTATCGCGCTGAAGTCCTACTCGCGACGGAAATGCTGTGGCTGTGAATAATCTAGTATCGGAGTAGACGTAGAGAGATTGCTATTCCGGTCGTTCACGATGTTCACCCGGCGCAGCACAGAACGGTCTTCTGAGAAAACTTCGACCTTGAATAATGTTCGCAAGGGGAGCAAGCGGAGTTGCACAGACATATGTCACTTTACCCGTAAATTCAAATTCACAACCACTTGGGTGTCAGGTAGAGCTGCGGTAATAGGGCTGACAACTTTCATCTAAGCAGATTTGTCTGATTTATCGAGGAGGGTTTCTTCACTCACAGAAGCGACTGTGTCTCAACATTCACCAGCAGGTCAGTAAGCGCAGTAGACCGGTTTCCCTCGACAGATGGCATCTGATTGCGCCGCGCCAGGTCTTTGAGCATTCAGCCTCAGGAGCTTTCTACTGAATCTCTTGAAGTAGCTCTCATGCAGTTTTTTGGAGAAGCCTACTTATTCCCAGAACATTAGTTTGAATCAGCCCACTATCTGGCCTACCCTAAAGAGCTTCGCCAGAGTGCACCAGCAGTGGACACCGGGGTTCGTTTATAACCATCAGTACCTGCTGCTAAACTGTCGGTCAGAATTGGCGTGATGACGCTTTATAAACGCGAGATCCCCACTTTTAAGCCGTTCTCTTTATGCGAACAGGTGTAGGTGGGGTATGTGGGTACAAAATGGTTGAACGGGCCTCACACCCGACCACTCCGTCTTTGAGGCAGTCGAGGCTGTCCACCAGCTGACTGTTTGGGGGTAAACCTGTTTGTTCTTTGGGATCGCCAGGTCCTTTTTGACAGAAAACTAGGGGAAAGCTGTGAGCGGGTGGGCATACAGTCCGTAAATAAGGGTCACGTTTTGTGCGTAGTCTCGATTTGAGATGTTTACGGCGGTTAATGGAGGGAGTCAGACACCTGGAGCCCGAACGATTGAGCCACTCAGAAGAGTTTCCGCGCATCGAGCGCCCAGAACGTGAAGAAGGGTCCACGTTCCCCATACCCTTGGATCTTTCTCATTGGCCGTTTGCTGACATTTTGCTAGGTCTTAGACTTTTCACGGGGACTGACTGAAAATGAAGTCGAGCAAGCGTTTGATGCGACGAACTCGGGTAAACGTCTTCATCATTACGGTGGCAGCCAAGAAGACAACTGGGGAACGTACAAAGCACTAATATGATGCATCTCGCCGACACAAGGATCAAATTTTTCTTCGTTGAAATGCACGTTGGGCAGATTTTACTTAGCTATAAGTGCTGCCCCCGAGGACAGGAAAACCAGAACGTAAATTTTTGGTCTGCCTTCCGCCGTTGACGATCCATTCCCCGACAGCAGACCGGGAAGATCGCGGCCTCCAACTCGAACTCTCTGGTCGTTGGACATTTGCGTTAAGCGCTCTGCCCTTAGCCACAGACTTACGTCCTGCCTATTGCGGTTGGGGTTACCTAGATTTACACGGAATTAATATTCACCCTATCTATCCTGATTGCAGGCTTAAGGCTAGGGCGTCAATCAGTCGCCTCAAACCGCCGTTCGTTGTGATTCGCCAGTTTAGACCGCGAAAACGGGCAGTTAAAATCTGGGTGATGTAGGAGACGTCAGGAATTCAGAGTATTACTTAGGGAGTGGTTGTTCACTCAGAGGTGCGTTGATGAGGGGAGCGTGAGTCTCTTGGAGTCAGTCAGCACACGATCGCATTGTCACGCCCAAACGACTGTGCCGTTGCAGCAGTTGGCAAGTAGAAGTCATTGCAAACGAAATGGGTGCAACAGTCCGCGTTCGTCGGCGACACTGCAGTCCTAGGCGAGGCCTTAAACTAAACCAAATGGACACCTTTCAGTGGGGGGAGCAGCGTAAATGTGGCGAATTTAATGAGCATCAACCTCACCGCCACCCGGAATGCATTTGCGGGGTGCAAACACGAAACTTGGCCCCGCCCCAGTCGTGTGAAGATCTCCTCTCAACAAGGACTGCCACTAGTAGGCGCTGCGTAAAATGTCGTTGCACGACGAGTTCATGATGCGCGCGCGTGTACACTCCTTGAGCCGCACCGGCTTGCATAACGTGTTCAGACGTGTCCCTTTGGGCCATGCCTCGCTCCAATCCAGCATCAGTTTGTCATGCGGTCCTTCCTGAAGATGCACGAAAGGCACTGAGAGTGGTTATCGATGTCGCTTCCTACCTAAAACGCCACATATTGTGTGTCTGAGCCTATTATCTTTCGATTGGACACAGGAGCTATCACGTGTGGCATGCCTGCCCTTGTCCAATCGTCCTACAACGGGTACCGCGCACAGTCCCCCCAGGCGGAGAAAGGCACCGCCGATCATGATGCAGTTAGCACCGGGGACGCGCTGGCTACCGCTGTGCGCATTTGACGTCGCGCGTTGGTGAGGCGTTTTCTTGTGCCGCTGTCATCATTGCTTAGCTAAGGGGGGGGGGGGGAGAGACATACTAAGGCTTCTCGGGTCTGCGAACCTGTGTGTTAGAGACCGACGGAGTCGCCATGGCAACCAGCAAAGGGTCAGTTTATCTCCCACTTCCCGCAGCCCGCCTTGCCTCCGGGACGGCTCTCCTCACACGGCTCAGCGTTAGAGGCCCCAGTGTGCGGGCAGAAGAGGACTCTGCATTGGGAATTTGAACATCTTCACAGCCCTAGGAGTTATGACCCGGAAGAAAGGTAGGACAGGAAGAGAGTCGGTTCGAGGGACAAGCACTTTACTGGTAACTTACGGACACGAGGGGTTACAACTCGTAAGAAAGATGCACTATTTATATTGGCTCCTGTGCGTTCTGGAACATTCAGTCCAATGACTTACCAGCTGTTGAGGGCGTTCTAGAATGTTCCTGCCCCGGGCGTGCTGGTCGCTGATTGGCCACCGCGTGCGCGATAGCCCACCCCCGACGCGGAAACGTCTGGAATGTTCGATCAGCCATGGATTGGGCCGCACACGTGAGCAAAGCCACCACACGTGCTCGGCGCTGCAGTGCATGCCGGTCGGCCGTTTAACTTCATGCATGTCTAACGCCGCCGGCATGGTCCCCTGTTCAGCGCCTTAGGCCGTAGCTCTACGCTGCTTGCACTCTCCATAACACTAAGAGATATCGGTAGGGGTCGGTCACGCTGTCCTGGTTCAAAGTGTAAGCGCGATGTGGCCATTGCAAGTAAAGTAAGCT